AACATACTATGGTTAAGACTAGCATGTAAGCAAAAATTGTCCAATAATAACCATCTTCCTGAAAAAAGAATCTAGGATATTGAGCATTCCATTAGGTTTGGCGACCTGGTTGGCGTCAGATTAGAAAACGCTTTAGTTAAGAACCCTTAATCGAGTTTCGATGATAGGCTCTCCTTTCGGTTCAGTCAACCATAAATTTTATGTTTTTTCCCAATATTTTCCCCGTGTTTTAGTTACAGCAGATACAAATAAAGAAAATTGAAACAATAAAATTTATAATTTATGTATAATTTTAATTGTTTCTAAACTATTTCGCAAAACAATTTATTTTTATATGAGGCAGAACTTTAAAATGTGTCATTTTATTTTTCCTAAAGAAATAAAATAAAAACGCTTGATTTGTTTTAGTAAATATTTCGATAAACTGTACGCATTTCAAAAACTTGCGTCAAGTTTATTGAAATATTTATTAAAATAAAACAAGCATATTTATTTTTTAATGAATAAGATATTAATGAATGCAGGGGTCTGTCCAGACATTTTGTGAAAGGTCCGTTTTCGTAAAATGGTGAAAAAATTACTCGTAATTTGTGAACATAAAATAAACGTTAAGTCACATTCTTTCAACCAGGGTCCGCTTTTGAGAATTTGTGCCAATAGGGTCCGTTATTGCAAAAAAACTTTTTCAAGGAGTTTTTAAATTGTAACGACATACAAGATTATGCTCAACACTGTAAAATTATAATTTAAAAAAAATCAAATTTAAAAAAATAAAGAGCAATTGCAGCTACTAAACTAGCGATGCTACATACAAATATTTGGTATTTAGCCTATACTGCTGAACGCAGAATATTCATTTCGGACGAATAAAGGAAGAAGCGTTTGCCGAAGACAAAATTTAGTTCGTTTACATCTGTCTTTCTCCCCCCCCCCTTCCTGGGAAGGGTTTATTCGATTAACAAAACAATAATGAAGATAAACAAATTTGTGAAGGGTCCGATTAAAAGATAAATTATTTTGTGAAGGGTCCGTTTTTAAGTTAAAATGTTTTGTGAAGGGTTCCGTTTTTATGAAAAGATATTCTGTGAAGGGTCCGTTAACGGAATCAAATTTCTTCTAAACAGACTCTGATATGATATTATAAAAATCAAATATATACTATATAGATTAAACTTCCTGAAAGAGTTAAGTTCCTGTAATAGGATTTTAGAATATTTTAAATTCATTTTTCATGCAGCAAAGCTTTCTAAATGTACTGTTCTACTAAAATTTTGAGTTCTAACAAAGACATTTTTTCGAAATATGAATTTTAAAAGAAAAACTAAACTTAAAATATTATTTTAAAAGTTAAAATCTGCAGCTGTCGGGAAACAAAACTGATTTTAGCTTTGAAATCCCGAATTAGGTAGAATCAAGAAAAATGTTTTCTCTAGTGTAATCCACCACGTTCCTGACATTTGGCAATTTTTCTTTACGATTTGCAGTGAAAAACAAAATAGTGTTTTCAGTTTTTAACTAGTCTGTGTTATGAATACGAAAACAACTAGTTTTGGATAAAGAATACGTAGTGAAATTCAATTATATAAATGCACATGAATATATGAATTCAATATCTCGGTTGTAAAAAAAGAAATCCACAAAACGTGTGGTAAAGAACATTTTGCGTTTAAAAACCCTATATATGTTACTGTGAATGACCGAAATCAAGAAAATGTCGACTTTCACCTGTGAATGTCAACAATCACATAGTCGCTTTGGTGAATGTCCAAAATATTTATTATATCCGATTTGATATTAATTTATTCGTTGATATTATTATATTTATTCGATATTTTAATGTCTGCTTAGGATAGATTAAGAGAAACGTCAGTGTTCTGAGTACCCAGGGCCGGATTAACCTATAGGCACACTAGGCACGTGCCTAGGGCCTACGAAAAACTTGGGAGAAAAAAATTTGTTGACAAAAATAATTTAGCTTTAAAAACAACAAGTGTATTTTGCACAAAATTATGAAGATACAAATAAAAATATAATATTTTTCGGTAATAAATTATTTTGCAGAATCTTATGATCTAATATATTACTTTTTTGCGATTTTTGGATTCAACGAAATCTTGTATTATGCTGTCGAATTCCAAACTACGCAAAATGTCG